GAAATTGAAAAGGAGGGAATACTTCCAGACTCATTCTGTGAGGCCAGCATTACCCAGATACCAAAACCAAACAAAGACATGACATAAAGAAAACTCTACATACACATATGCATACACACACACACACACACATATATGCATACATTTACATCTAACTCTGTATCTTTATGTATGGAAAACCATGAGTTCACATAGATACCTCCAATTTCAGTCCACAGGGTTTGTTCTAGTTTTCTCCTTTGCATATCTGTAACTAACTTCTCCCACAGTAAAATGCCTGGCTCCAGTTATTTTTGTTTTTATTTTTTGTATGTTTATTTTTGTGGGGGTTTTGTTTGTTTGAGACAGGGTCTGGCTCTATTTCCCAAGCTAGAGTGCAATGGCATCATCATAGCTCACAGCAACCTCAAACTCCTGATCTCAAGCTGTCCTCCAGCCTCAGCCTCGCAAGCAGCTGGGACTGAAGTTGCGAGCCACCATGCCTGGCTAATTTTTCTATTTAGGAGACAGAATTTTGCTGTGTTGCCCAAGCTGGTCTCAAACTCTTGGCCTCAAGTGATCCTCTAGCCTTGCCCTTCCAAAGTGCTGGGATTACAGGTGTGAGTCACCGCGCCAGGCCACATTGTCTTAATAATTATTGCTTTATAATAACTTATTGCTTTTTTTCTGCTTATTGTATTTGTTAACAAGAGAAGTGTGCTAAAAGCCCCAACTATGATTATGGATTTGTCTATTTCTTCTATTAGTTCTGACAACATTTGCTTTAAATATTTTAAAACTATGTAGTTAGGTCCAGCAGAGATAAAATTGTGTTTTTCTGATTAATTGAAGTTGTAGGGGAGAAAAGATTTCTTTCCTCACCCATCACTAGGTTCATGGCTGAGACTCCTTATAACAAAAGACAGATTAACAAAAGAAAAGCATACAAATTTATTTAATATACTTTTTACGTGACACAGGTGTCTTCAGAAATGAAGACCCAAAGAAACAGGGAGACCTGTGTATTTTATGTTAAGTTTGATGAAGAAATGGGTAGTTTTGGAGGAATATGACTGGAGGGTAAAGGGGCTATGATCTAATGATAATGAACTGGGGGGCACTTAGCAAGGCTTGTTTGTTCAGATTCCTTTGGGCATCTCTGTGTCTCTGTACCTCTTAGAATGAAGGTTTTATGACCTACTTTAAAAGGAAGGACGGAATTATTTTATGGCCTGCTTTCAGGGTGGAAGGGTGAGGGGAAGGTGAGAGTAAGCTTCCTGCTTCTACTGTTTGCTCAAATGTCAAGGTGCCATATTATAGGGTAGCATGTCCTGACCTCATCAACCATTTTAGCACAATGACATGTCCCTCTTAATCACTGGTAATGCTTTTTTGTGTTGAAATCTACTTTGCTTGGTATTAGTATAGCTACACCACCTGCCTTAGTGTTTGCTTGGTATATCTTTCTCCTTCCTTTTAATTTGAGCTTATCTGTTTATTTATCTGTATCTGTATCTGTATATTTAAAGGTGTCTCTTAATACTTGAGTTTTGTTTTTTTATCTAGGCTAACAGTCTTTGTTAGTTTCTTTTTGTGGTTTTGTTTTTAGCTACTATTTTTTGAGCACTTTCTATGCGTTTGACTCTCTTGAAGGCATTTCACTTACATTATTTATAAATGTCAAAACCACTTTAGACAACTAGAATCAGGGAACTGATTATCATAACAATAGAAGCAGCATATGTTTGGACTGGTGTCCTGGAATGTTTTTCTGTGACCCAGATTCCTTTCAAATGAAAAGAAGGGCAAACTAAAGATATAAAAAAAATGGGAGTGGGGATTTATTTTTCTTGCCTAAGCTTATTTATTTCTTTTTAGGGAAATATATTTTAATCTCAGCTTCCTTATCTAGAAAAGTACTTACAACGTTTTCAGTAACAGCAAATCACTTAGGCTTTTTTTCCCTATATGACTGAAGCTACCAACAATATTTATTGAGTGATGATTAATCAGACTTTGTTTAATTTGAATTTTTAATAATATATGTTCAAGACTAAGTTTTAAAAATTGCTTTGTCTTTTTTACCCTATTTTACCCTTTTTTACCCTAAAAAACAATTATTTTTCTTAAACTCTGTAGTGAACTTTATTAGAGCTTATTGCCAGGTCCTTCATTCAGCTACTTCCAAATACTAAAGTTCCTTATTTTGATTTACTTTTTAGTTAACTAGAAAATATTTGTGATTAATCTTTTATACAGAGATACACAAATGTTTGTTCACTTTGCCTGTATACAGCTTGACTGGATATGGGGAATGTTTGATTACTAATTTTGCTGACAGTTATTTAGATGCTTCTCCATTTTCTTATGTTGTCAGTGTTGCAGAATATTAATATTAGCTTGATTTTTTTGTATTCTGTTTATGAGATTTGCAAAGGAAGATTGGGTACTTACAGAAATTTTCTTTATTCTTAAAACAAATTTGTTAAGCCTGTTACCTTCCAATCTTTTCACCATCATTCTTGTCTGTCATCTATAATAGCTTCATTTATCTAACCTTTTCATATCTTACCTGTCTTTTAAGATCACACTCAAATCTTTCTACTTCCAAAAATATTTCCTAATTCCTGTAATCTTTGTTTTCTCGCTTTTTGTATTTGTATTCATTGACATAAGCTTTAGGCTTTAATTATCCAATTTTTGTTATTGAAATACGTACACAGGAACATGTCCTGTGAGTGAGTGGCACATGGTGAATTTGAGTGAATTCATTGGATGGGAGAATTCTGTCTTAAGTGCTGTGCTGTATTTCATTAATTCTGAGTTCCACATTTTTTCACATTTTAGCATCTCT